AGAGAACAAATTTATACATACATGTATGGGCTTCCTAAGAACCTTCTGTGAAAGTGTTCTTCACCATGCTCATCCTGGGAGTAAAAAAAAACACTTCCACCTATTGACTTCTTGGCCTAATTGACAGTGGGAACATGTAGAGAGTAATCATAGGTTTAATGAATTGTTGCTTTGGCTGATGTATTAGGCTCACTTTTATCTCTGTGTCCTTATTTAGAGCTTGCTCTCTGTGGCCGCTAGAGATGATTATGAGACAAAGCAGCCAATTGTTAGTTCTTCATCAACCTCTTCAATACATTTAATTCGTTTGAAAATGTTCATGAAAGTCAGACAACACTTACTTTCTTTCACATCTGAAGCCCTGTGCTAAGCATACTGACATATAATCACAGTAGTAGTACTCACCTCATAAGATTGTTAGAGGATAAATGGATTAATATTTATAAGGGTCCCTCAGGACAGTGCACATAGCAAGCATTGTTTTCCATGTAAGACAAATGACCTCATTAACATGAAATCTTACAGGAGTGTAAACTTCTTGCAGAATAGCAATTTCATTATATTTTGTGGAAATGAATCTAGTGTTTACACTTTTTAGAGAAATGAAGTAGGAAATGAGCTTACGTGGCAGTTCCACTTGGGATTTAATGTGAAGTTATGTTGTGCAGTAATAAAACCCACATCCTTTCAACTCATCATTTGTAGCTAAGAGCTCCAGACTTTTAAATTAATGAGACTTTATTGCCTTTGGCTATTAGAAATTTACATGGTAAGTTTTAAATTTATATGGTAGCTTTAAATCCTCCTGAAATGGAAATTACATCATTCATGACAATGGCTAAAATATTTATGCCATTATTTTAGTTATGAGCATAAAACAATAATAGAGAAGATTTAAAATTAAAAAAATATTTTGAGTTTAGATGGTGATTTTTAGAGTAGAACAGGTAAAACATTATTCATTTTAATAGTAGTAATAAGTGAATGCTTTGGGGATTGAAATCGGGAAATCAAAGTACTTGAAATAGTGTCTTTTCTCAAACTCTTACCCATCTGTTACTTTAGGCTCAGGGAAAAGGTAGGGTGGGAGGGAGAAAGAGCAGAGTAAAATCAGTTGGGATTTGTGTAAGGTTCTTTGACTAATTTGTACTTTGTCTGAAGAGAGCACAAAAGGAAAACACCAGAACAAAAATTGAAGAATACTTTAATTTGTCTGCATGTCTTAAAAATCCAACTGGTCAACCATTATTTAACATAAGAGAGTTCTAAGCTTTCCATTTGAGGTTGCACATAGGGATGTGCTGGGTCTTGGTAGGATGGAGTAAATATTAAATGGTTATTATTATTGAAATATAGTTGCAAATCCCTTGAAATATAGTTGCAAATCCCAGCCTTGTGGGTTCCAGTAAATTTCCAGCTGTCAAGATTTTGTTCCTGGCTGCCTCAAGAAAACCAAATGTGTTTCTTTTTCAACTGTGTAAATACTGACAAGAGACCTTTGAATTCCTCAGTGGGAGGCTTCTTTGTGATCCATTTAGAAAGTCATGTAATGGGAGTACTAGCAGTTAAAGAAGGCCTTTGGTAGAGGTTGGGGTTCAGTGAAGGAGATTGAGTGACTGACCACAGAGCCTGAGTGGTGTCCACAGTCATTTGATACCAGAAAGGGGCTGGGACCTGGGGTGACCTGTTAGGAGAAGGAACGTATGCAAATTGGAAGGTAGGATGCTGTACTCATTCTCTCATTTACTCACTGTAGAAATATCGAGTGCCAACTCATTCCTTTTTTTTGTCTTAAAAAAAGAAATGATTATTCTCTTAAGTTGACCATCTCTGGACTTCTGAAGAAACAATCCGTTTGTGGGGGCTCATGGGTGGCTCAGTCAGTTAAGCATCCTACTTTGGCTCAGGTCATCAAGTCACAGTTCAGGAGTTTGAGCCCCGCGTCAGGCTCTGCACTGACAGCGTAATAATTTCCTTAACCCCAGTTTGATTGATTTTGGTCTTCTTTTTCATAGAACTATTCCTTACATTTTATGTGCTATTTATATTAACTTACATGTTATAAATTCTTTCTTCCATCAAGGTGATTAGATAAGGTTTAAGAGGCAAGGCTAAAGAGAAGTATTTTTGTACTTTTGTCTTCAGAATTACCAAATTTTTTGTTCTTTGATTTTTTTTCACTGCAGCGAAATTACTTTTAGACTTTATTTTTATGTCAATTGCTTAAGGATAGGCAATGGGAAATAAAAAAGAGTGCAGTGATTTTTCTCAGTTGGATGAATTCTAATCACCATGTTCTTATAGTCCTTCCAGTCTTATCAATACCTTTTAGTTATGGTAGAGTTAGTCATAAAAACCCCACTATGATACTCATCACTGTCTTTATCTTATGGGAGCGAGTTTTGTGTTTCGGAAATTCAAAATGACTCAGACTGTTCCATTATGTAATTATTTTGTGGAAAGAATTTGAGCTAAATTTTTCAGGTCATGGCTTATATGAAAACAAAACAATCTAAAAAAAATCGGAACTGTAAACACAGTTGGTGTAACATTTATAAATGTTTCAGCAATAGGCATTGCCATGTGTAACTTAATATGTTTGGAAACTTAAAAAAAAAAAATCATTCCAGTTGCTGATGTTTAAAAATGGTTCTGCATTAAAAAAAAAAAAAAAAAGACAAAAGGTCAAAATATAAACACATGTTCCACATAAAAATGAAGCCAAGAAGATATACTGTATACAGTTATTCCCATATCTGTTTGGCTAGGGACTGACATTGTTTAACTTATATTAGCTGTTCCAAGACAAAATAGCTCATGAGAGTGATATTGAGGTTTTTTGTTTTTGTTTTTGTTTTTTCATAAAAAAGAAGGCAAAAGCTTCCATTTGTTTAGATACATTTCAGTTGAGCCCAAAAAACATCTTTCCGAAAAGTTATGCTGAATTAAAAAGTGACTCAGCTGTTTCATTTCAATTACTAAAGCTAATGTTTGTTAAATGATGCTCTTTTTATTTAATTATAATTGTTAACATTTTTGGCTGCTGAAGTGCCAGACAGCAAGACCATTTATCCATGTGCCATTTAGGCCTCTCCAAAGTAAGTGATGGAGTCAGGATTTGAATTTGACATTGTGAGTTCAGAGCCCATCTCCTTAACCATGGTACACCTAATTTTCAATAACTCTGATAGCAGGAATATGGTTGAAAAGAACCACGTACCAAAAAATAAGCTATCTACTTTTAACTCTAGAAATATATAGTCTGGCCAAGTGTTGATCTGTCCCTTTTACAGTTGTTTTCTCTGTGTATCCCATTAAAATTAGCACTTCATATACTTTTACAAACTTGACAAAATATTTACTTTTAGAAAAGAACGCCTAATATACTGAGCTATTTAATTCTCAAAACTTTTTATTTATTTTTTTATTAATGTTTTTTATTCATTTTTGAGAGAGCAAGAGACAGAGTGCAAGCAGGGGAGGAGCAGAGAGAGAGGGGACACAGGATCTGAAGCAGGCTCCAGGCTTCGAGCTGTCAGCACAGAGCCCAATGTGGGTCTCCAACCCAAGAACCGTGAGATCATGACCTGAGCCCAAGTTGGACACCCAACCGGCTAAGCCCCCTAGTTGGGCACCTAACCCAGGCGCCCCCTAATTCTTAAAACTTCTTTATTATATACCATCACTAGGAGAATGTATTTGAGTATGAACTCCCAACATATGCCTTTATAAATGCTATGCAGATACCAACATATTAACTTATTTTATACATGACAAATCACCCTACGATATAAACTTTGAAAGGGAGAAGTAAAAAGTAATTGTAAACAAGTCCTAATTTTTTTTCTTTAAGCTGAAGGATTGCTTTATGTTCTTCTTGGTGTGCGTGAACCATTTTGGAGACCAAAACTTAACTTGATATAGTCTGTTAATGTATAAGGTGGCTGTGATGAACTTTGCTTTCCTGATTTAAGCTCCTACATTATAAAGGACCTGTAGGTAGTAGGGGCTTGTGTGTGTTTGTGTGTGTGTGTGTGTGTGTGTGTGTGTG